CTCTTTCCCGTCTTCCGTCCCATGCCCACATCTTCAAACGGTGGGGCAAAATATATGTTGTCAGAATATATTCGGTCGTTTATGAATGAATCGCTCTATCTATACTTAGTTAATCTATGGTGGACCCCAAGTGTGGCTGCAGAAGAGAGGATAGATATTTTGCTACATCGTAAGTTAGTGATCCCGGGGCACTGACGATTGGTCTTAGTGGTATTCTTTCCTTGTAAATCTTCGGTAATCCATACAAACGTGAGGGGAGGGCTTCTGATCTAATAATCCTCTCGTGTTCTCGTCTATTGAGGAGATTTTGATCAGGCGGTTGATGTTCCTGAGCTTGGCTCGAGTCGGGTCTTTTTTGAGTTTTGTGTAAGTGATTGGGTCCAATAAGTTTTGGATTTTCTGCTCGTACTGCGCTCTGTTCATGACGACTGTAGCGTTTCCTTTGTCACCTGGCAGGACGACAATGCTTGTGTTCCTTCGTATTTCCTTGAGGGCATGTTGTTCTTCTCTGCTTAAGTTGATTGGTGGTGGTTTCGCTTTCCGTAGGATTTGGGTGGTTTCCACACGAATTTCATTTGCCGTTTGTTCTGGGAGCCCTTGCAATGCTGTTTCGGTGTTCGAGATCATTTCCTTTATTGGTATCGTTCTTGGTCTAATAGCAAAGTTTCCTTCCTTGGCTAAGACAGATTGCTCCGCAGGCGTTAGTGAGTGACTGCTCAGGTTCACTACAGTTCGTGCTGGGTCCAGGCTACATGTCGTTTGGGTTGTTCCTCTAGATTTGGCTTCTAATTTTTCAAATTTCTTCTTTTGTCTCTTCGTGACTCTGTCCAATTCCCATTGCATGCTGTTATGGGATATGGAGTCGATCTTATTCCAGTCAGTGTAATGCAAACCGTTTCCCAGTTTGTTACGGTTAAATTGATTTGTTAAACAATCGGTTCCTCTCAGGACCGATTGTTTTGTCAGCAACCCAACAATATCAATGTCATTGTCAAATTGCTTATATCTTCGGTTGCAACAAATATATCGGTGTGGGTTTTTCACTATTTTCCTTCATTTTTTATACTCGCAGCTCTAAGTAGCTAAAAAATTATATATCATTCCATTTAAAAGATTTTATAAAATCGAAAAAGTTTGACGACTTTTTATAACGCGCACTCTGTGTTAATGTAGATCAAGAGCTATTCAATTGCAATTTAAGCGTTGAATTTGGTTAAGCTAATACGGAGCTATTAACAACTTTTTGAACTGTTATTTGACCTTCCCCCACCACTTTATTTGACTAGCTAGGACAATAATACTCCCACACGAAATAACTGAGTTTGTCAAGAATAGAATTCAGGTATTTGCAACCAACTTAGTTAATCTATGTTTGCAACCTACCTTAGCCTGTCCTAAACTATTAAAAATCCGTATTCAAAATTTACTATTGCAATTTTACCCTCTAGCGGATATTTTGAAAACTTGAAAATTATTTCCGGCCATTTCCCTGAGCCACTTTAGTTATATATTTTTTTACTTGAAATCGATACGACTAATAGTTTACGGCCGATCACCTCTCTTAGTGGCCCACCCTGTACATATTAAGCCCGGGTAATAAATACTGTGTCTTAAGATACTTGTGTGTTGATGCCGCTCTGTGTGTCCATGTGCCGCGACACCTCTTACGACGGGGCACTTTGAACAATACTTAACTTTTAATCTCATTCAAGATGGCAGACTTCGGATTGCAGTTTGTGAAGGCCATGCGCAGTTACCATATGGTTTGTGACTCTCTCGACAGGCTTTATTTTACGTTAAAAAGCCGCACGAACGAAAGTGGTCAAAATGCTTGTCTACTGATTACTGATGAATTTTTATTTATCTCTGTTCGATATGGCTTGCATTGAATGCTGGTCCCAGGCACTAGGACAACATCTGGGATTTCGATATTTCAACAATGCAAAATGGCAAATGCCTGCCCTTTGAATAGATTGTTTTTATGTTATGTTTCCCTAGCATCTTCCCAATTTTGTCCGTAACTCTCGGAAATAATAGCAGAAAAGTCCTTTGGGTGGTTTTACTCTTTTATGCACGGTTCACCCCTACTGCTCTTTTGATGTGAGTATCCATTTTGAGTGAAATCCACTTTCAGACAAAACAGCCCACTTAATACAAATAAAATTTGGACAAAGTGACGTTCTGAAGAATCTTAGCTGTAGGTATTGTAGTGCTCGTAAGATCTCGTTACTTTCGATTACATTGTTGAATGTACGTTTTTCTTTTTTTTTCCGGTGAGGTTTGGGAAATGCTCTTTTATGCACTCCCAGAGCTGGTGGTCTGTCGGTCTGGTATGTGTGGGACTTCAGCTAAGCTGTTTACCCACTAAAACCCTTTCCTCACCGCCGAGGTGGTGTTTGGCCTCGCACCGCGGTCATTTCTGTCCTATTGTGCCCTCGTACTTTTACTCCCTATATATTCTGTATTGTATATTCAATGAATTCCAGAAGAGTATTGAGGGGAGTTGAATGTACGTTACGGTGGCCAAATGAAAACGTTACATTATTCAACAACTAAAATCAAATCAAATGGTGATTTCAGTTATTATAAAAAATTGTGCCAGCGGTTTTTTTAAACTAAATCACTCTAACATTTTTCCCAAGGTGTCGTGTGCTATTAGGTATGCAATGAATGATTGTTGTAGATTTATTGAGGCTAAAAAATCACTGCAACAGGCAGTGGTCACCGTGAAAATTGTGAATAATCTATGAAAACGTGTTTCACATATTATTTTAATCTTAAATGTAAAGTAATATTATCCCGAATTACGCGAATATCACATCGGAATTTTCTTGAATCCATTGGGTGAATTCTGTAACTCTAGTGAACACTGACGGCTTTCCAGCCTCGCAACTTCGATAGCTGAAAGAAGTGATTCCCACTTGTACATTGTCTGCTACTAATGGCCCACCGCTATCTCCTTTACATATGCTTTTAATGCCTGAAACAATGAAAATAAGAAAATGTTGCTTATGAGGGAAACCACTTACCGTCACCCGCTAAGCACAGATGCGTGTTTTTAATTTCTTCATCGTAATTAGAATCGACATTTTTACAGTCGTCGTTGCTTAGAATGATACTAGTTTCATAACGTAACACGTCAGTAGTTCCTACTTGGCTGTCGGTAGTTTTACCCCATCCACAAGCAGTACCTATGAATTCAAATTGATTGATTTTTATCGATTTGCAAACAGTGTTTGAGTATTTACCCTCGCTATCAGCAAAAGAGTTATTGCCTACAGCCAATGATACAACACTCACAAAGTCATTAAGTGTTATAGGCGTTTCAAGCTCTATTAGAGCTAAATCATTGGTGAGTGATGTACTATTCCAATCCGGATGAACGACATATTTCGAGGTAGTTGAACGTTGCCTCGTTGGCTCACTGTTATCCGATATATTGTGGGCTCCAAGGATTACATCGAAGGAAATTGCTCTATAAATACAAAATTATAGCTCGTTTATCACCGAATTTCAAACGCATTTTTATTGTCAAAGCCACATAACTAAATATTATTTAATTTTCGTCCATAATTTATATAATAAAAGTCATTGAAATTTACATAAGAATTCAAAAATAAAATAAAATGTAGGGTATTCCAATAGAATTAAAGAAGTGGTTTTCTGTACGTTAACTCTTTGAATATGGCAAACCGTTTTTAAGAACTACAATATAAGTTGATACAGAAATAACGGGTTACACAATTCGAGATGAGGAAAGTAAAACCTTGCTATTTCATATCTGTCAAAGGTAAAGGTGTCAAAGGTAAGCGTTTTTGTTTCAGTTGAAAGTTTGCCATGTTGGAATATGGATCGTTTAACTGTCGAAGAACGCGTAAAATTTTGCTATTATTACAATTATACAATTACTATTATACAAAGTCCAACTGATTCAAGAACTTAAGCCTCAAGCCCATGGGCAACGCAGAACATACGCAAATTGGGTGATTGAACAACAAGCCGTTGATCATTTTTCGAACCGAATTTCCTTCAGCGATGAGGCTCATTTTTCGGTCGGTGGTTGCGTGAATAAACAGAGCAGCCGTATAGGGGGCTCTTAAAATCCTCAGGTGATCGCAGAAAGGCCTTTGAATCCTGAAAAAGTGGCCGTATGGTGTGCATTATGGTCCGGTGGTGTTATTGGCACGTATTTTTTTTTAAAACGATCAAGGAATAGCCATAACAGCCAATTCTGAGCGCTATGGACGCATGTTAACCGATTATTTTGAAGAGAAATTGAAGATTATGACCTGGAAGGCATGTGGTTCCAGCAGGTTGGGGCAACGAGTCACACAA